GTAGCAACGACGAAAATGATGCTAGTGATGGTGGTGTGACTAGTACAAACCATCTCTGGCTTGCTTCGTGCTTCGAAAAGACAGCAAGGAAGGAAGACAGGGGTGGCTTGGGACCACCCGCCAAGTGCTAAGCCGATAGGCCGTGAATCTATGGGGTGGGTGCGAGAACGAAAACCTAAGTGTCGCTGGAAAACGTCTCTTTAATGCTCTTAGCGTCGTCATGCTGTTTTCCCGACACCTCCCTTTACCGCCTCTTTTCCTCTCGGAACGAATAGTTGCTTCTCGCGCTGCAGAATAAATACGTGCCAGCATTGAAATTGCGTTCTCCTCTTGCCTTACGTTCTCACTTCTTCTTTACCGGTCTCTTCGCAATGTGATTTTTATAAATTCCATGAAAAAGCAAATTTTTGAAATTAAACTTAAATTAACACGATTCTGATTGGATAAGTTATCTTTTTCATTTTGTCAAGTAATTTTTAGGAATAATTTCCTATCGGTAATTCTTATTCTTCAAAGAAATAACAGATTCGACTGAAGCGTATACGAACTTCGACAAGGCAAACCCTCGACGATTGTAGGTCCGTGTCACTCGCGTGCCCCTGACAGCCAGCAATTAACAGTCCCGGACTTTCGCCTCTCTGATACGGCAACGTAGCTATGGTAGAGTGCGAGAATAGAGTGCCGGGCTAGGCGCCCCGTTAAATAATTGTTCCCCCAATGCGTCGGTTAAGACAACGATTTGCCCAGAGCTTTCGTTCGCCGACTACCTTCTCTCTCTCTCTCTCTCTCTTTCTCTTTCTCTTTCTCTCTTTCTCTTTCTCTTTCTCTTTCACTTCGTTTCTCATTCCTTGTTAAGGTCTCGCACGCTAGTCAATAATAGTCTTCCTTTTGGTTGGACTATGTTCCGATTATTCGAGATTTATTTCCTCCCTTATCCTCGTGTTCGTAAATTTACTTTGGACAATTACCATTTCGAACCGAAATGCATCTTTTTCCTTTTTCTCGTCGCTGCAAGAAACAAGAAAATCATAAAATTCTATTATAGAGAGCATATTGCTTTCTCTGACCGATATCGATTTCTACAAGGAAATAGAGCGTGCACGAAGTATGGCGATTCGATGATGAAGTGAAAAACGAACGAACATTCTATCCTTTTTTCGCTCATACGGTCATTTCAACCTCGTTAACCTTGTTGGTATATCGTTTGCATGTAGAGGAGAATAAAAGCGAGATAGATGGGGTAGGGTGGGCTTTCGGAACTCTTACGCGCTATTTAACTTATCCATTTGAAAATCAAACACGTGAAACGATTAATTCGTAATTAACGCTAGCCGTTGTAGTGGAAAAATGAAGAAGAGGGAGAGGGTACAAAAAGAGATGGAGATAGAAAAATAGAAAAGAAATAGAGTAAATAAGAGAGATTTCTCTTGGTGATCGTGTTTAAGGAGTGGTTTCACCCTTTCAAAAAGGGAGGCTCCTCCGAAAGGCTTTCGTAGTAGGCATATTGTACGAGAGCAAGAAAGTTTAAAGTTCGTAACTTTAGTTCCGCTGTTAGCTTCTAATTAGCGGACAAACAGCTAGTGCTGAGATACAGACATACCACCCGTCTGTGGCCTGCCCCGAAGAAACTCCAGTCTAGATTTGTCCGAGAGTTCATCATCTTCCGTTTCTGCTTCTGATGGTGCACCGGTACATTTGTAGCAAAAGAGACTAACTACTTCCATTTGATTAGCACGACCGTACTCCAGCATTTCCTATGAATGAAAATCGGTACAGTCCATTAGCTGGAACTTTTTGGTCAAGTAAAATTTTCAAATAAATTAATCCGGTAAATACAGCTTACCGAAATTTCCATTTTCAAGATAATATAGTAGTTTGTGTGCAATTTATTTAGTATTCCGTTGTTCTCTCTCTCTCTCTCTCTCTCTCTCTCTCTCTCTCTCTCTCTCTCTCTCTCTTATTGCTTCCTAGATTACCTGTCGCTCCGTCGTCATATTGGCCATACTTGGTTGATATTATGGAAAATGTTGGTGGTCTATGGGCTATATTCCATGCGGACAGCCTTTACTCAAGAAATGACAAACGCACTCACGTTGGAGGTTTTGCATAGAAAGAGAAAGAGAGAAAGAGAGAGAGAGAGAGAGAGAGAGACAGAGAGAGACATATATCGGCTTCGAAGGTGAGGCGCGAAAGGGAGAGGTGTGGTGGGCATCGAGTTAGGTCACCGATGGTGTGAGGCTTTCAATATGCTTCGATGGTAGTTACAGTACCCTCTGGACTGCTGCTACAGATCGGTTCGGTAAGGAGTGGAGATGAGAGCAAGAGAGATGGAATTATCGTGCTGCGGTATCGGTTGCCTTGGTTATTTAGGAAACCATATCAAAGTTTGAGTTGGCTGCCTACTGGTGCTACGTACCCTTCTATCCTTCCTTGCTCCTGGACAATGAGGTCTCTTCTGGTCTCCTCGAGGTTGCCCTTGACATTCGTTACCGGACCAAATAACGACAGTCAAGCCTACGAAATGGCGAATCGTTCTTTGAAATACTCGAAGCAAAAGATCTATTTGCTCTTCTAAGTATTATTACATTCAGATTCGAACGCTGATAATACTGATAATCATTTATCGATCTTTCATATAGGTATCTTTTTTATAGGTAATGTAACATTAGAAATTTGTAAAAATTATTTTAACGAAGGTTAATCTTTTGTGACAGTGATTAGCAAGCCGAAGAGAGAACATTTTCCTACTTTCCGCAAGATCCGTGTGCCTTCTTCTAGAAGGGTCGAGATTTAATTAAGGCAAGGCGACGGGTAGAAAGACGAGTCGCTATGTCATGTAAACTCGAACCATCCCTTCTTCTCTTTCCATCGTAGAGACACGAGTACTAGCTCAAAGATCTTCCACCTTCTTCATCTTCGCCATTCGAAGAGTCCTTTCGTAAACTCACGAAATCACAGACTATGCTCAGGTTGAAGTTCATCGAGCAGAGTTCGTTCTAGGAAGTAGTTTCAGTCAAAAGAGAGACTGGCTTCTCTCTCGAATTATTTAAAAAATCTTAGATCATATGTCTAGATTTAATCATATCATCATGTTCGTATTTTTATCTGATCTATGTAAATAATCTTTCAATATTTTTCTCAATAATTTACAAAGCATTCATCAAACAGGAGATCACATAGTGGAAAGTTTCGATTGTGGATCCGCGCTTATCAAGTTCCGCTTTGAAACTCGATGGAATCGAAATAACTCGCAGCAGCAGCATCTGCACCGTAGTCGCGGTTTTAGCGTCAATAATTCGCAAAGTCTGCGGAGCAGATTCTAACCGACTGATTTCACGCATCTGGCGTTTGGTGGTTAGTTTGGCTTGGTCCGTGCTACCTCGTGAGAGCGAGAAGGATAGTAAAAAGCAAGGAGCCACTGATAGAGGAGAGAGAGAGAGGAGAGGAAGAGGTAGGAAGAGGTAGGAAGAGTAGTAAGAGGGTGAGTGTGGACAGCCCCTGCTTCGCCGGTGTGGTATTCCATGATCAATATTCCTTACTCCCTTTGCCTTGGTTTAGCCCTCCTCCAACTTGGTACGGGTGCCCTTACCTCGTGAAAACCCTCCTTCTCCAAACCCATCGCCTCCGCTCCGTCCCCCGTCGCTGAGAACTCGGCAGAAACCCCTAAAACCCCTCTCGCACCCTCGTCTTAATTAGGAGTCTGAATCTGTGGCGGACACGCGTATAAGGGTAGGGAGCAGGAGGCCACGGCGTTCGGTTCGGTAGCAGGCTAAGGGTATAAGGCCAGTCTGAACCCAGCGAGCCTCGTGTCCGAAACATTATTTCCAACTTTCCTACGATCACCACGATGTCATGCTCATCCGACGACCCTTTTTATTATTCTTCCAAAATAAACACATTTGCGCTACCTTACCCTTCTCCTTCGCAAAGAGAATGACGTCCTTTTAAAAGATAATTCTTCGCAGCAGAAATTCTTCGCACGATTTTTGTAGTTAAGAAATAATCTCCGTTTTTCCTTCTTACGCGTTCGTGAGATTAATTTTTCGTTGAATGTATGGACCTATCTATGTAGATGGAGATTTTACGTTAATTAGCTATCATGGCGAGAGAAAATGGATTCGATCTCCAAGTTTTTAAATTGTCCATTTCCTTATCTCTGTAATTTTGACTTTCATTTTATACACACACGGACACATATGTGTGCTTACAGCTATATAAAGGTGCGTATCCAGCGAATACCCTATTGAACTCGATCCACTATACCACTATACCTTAACGAACTACATTGAAAACTTCAGCTTCATGCCAATTTACTTCCACTAATTTCTTCCTTGCTCCGGCGAAAGTCTCCTTTCTCCGTCATTTCGATTTCTTCGGATCGTTGCAATAGTAACCTTTCACGATTGAAGTTCGCCAGTGTTGCTAAATATCGATCTTTACGAGTTTCTTTTCGATCAATACTTTTTCGCATAGTTTTCTTCTTTCTGGAGAATAATTAATTATCATAAAAATAAGTTTCGAGCTTTAAAAAAGTAGTCTTATACATTTATATTCATAGACGTATACATAGACGAACATGCCACGATCTTTGTATTTGTGAGCATATTTACATACAGGATACATACAGTAAGGAGTAGATAGGGGTAGACGGCGGTGAAGCTGAACCAAGAGGATATTGGGGTTAGGCCATTCATTAGATTACGGGAATTCGGTAGTACCCAATAGGGACGGAGGCGAAAGGGAAAGAGGGAAGGTCGTGGGTGGTGATGCTGCTGGCTTGGGTGCACGATCAAGCACCACCCAACGTGCATTAGCCTTCGTCAGAAGACACCTAAGAGAGAAAAGGGTTAAAGGGCATCCTGTAGTAGAGATAGGAAGATTATCCCTTTTTACAGACCTACCACGTTCACGATAGAAACGTGCCTTACATTACCGATCTTTCATTAAGAAATCGTATCATCAAACTAACTGTATATTGTTATTCTTCTCTTTTGTTTCAGAGTCGTCCCTTGCAAGGCGGGACTATCCCCGCCAAATCATGAACAAGGTACGTATCTATGGTACAAGTTTTGTTACTTTTTGATTACGTAATCTTTTTTGTTGGCAATTAATAGCCTAGAAGAATTATTTTTGTTACTAGTGTTTCAGTAATGTTGCAACGACGAGATTACATAACGCTGTTCTTGCGAATGTATTGTTTATATGTATCTACCTTACACATGTACATATGTATACGTGCAAAGTGTATATATGTGTATATATATATATATATATATGTATGTATATATGTACATATATATATATACATATACTATATATATATACATATGTATGTATATATATATAGCTCGAACCTCATTTGTAAGCCCTTTATGCGCCGTCTGCCTTTTCTCATTATGCATTGCACATGAGAAAACTTGCTTGGAGTCTCTCTCTCACTCTCTCTCTCTCTCCTCTCTTTATTCTTTGCCTCTCTCACCGCTGGACTGCCTTCGTTGCTCTCATTCGAGGGGGTAGCAACTCCGCTTTTCCTACTGCCTGCCACCTCATACCTCTCCGCACGTCGTTCCCGCGCCTCGTACCTTGGCTTCTTTATAAACTTTTAATGACTGCAAAGCCTAATCGACGGAACGAACGAGCATGCTTGGCTTCGCAAAACTACCCTACAGAATCTACGTTATATCTCAATTTTTGATACTCGAGCAGTCAAGCGTCGTCGCTTCGACAAGACGTCCGGAGATGTTTCCTGGTAATCAAAACGTTGCTCTTTCGACATCTTTTTCGTTCATTTCGTTATAAACTTTTACAAAGATGGAACATTTATATAATATATATGTTTGTATATTATATATATATATATATATAATATACAAACTATTTATATATATATATATAATATATAAAAAATATATATATATATGTGTATATATGTATATATATTTTATATAACGATATTTTAGTACAACGGAAATTATTTTTCGCTTTACTTTCATTTCTGTTATCGCGATTAATTTTTTATATACTATTCGTATACTTATACAAACAATTTAGCTTCTGCACTCAGCCGTTCAACTAATTGAATTTAAAGTTTGTGTAGAACTTTGTTTCGACTGTTTCGCGATAACACGAAGACATACGTATTTACAACATATATCTTCTAATTTGTATCAAAATCCATTGGTTTCTATAGTTGTTTCATACATACTGGTGTTCGATAATAACGTATCCATCTTTGTCAGAAGCAAGACAGGATTCAGGAATTTCATATGAAACGTATAAAGATCAAATTTCAAGGATGTTCATGCGAAAAATAAGGTAAAAGAAGAAAACAATATTCATGATACCTGGTAAAAGGATAGCGAGATAGAGACAAGTATAATACAGTTACCCTTTAGTCACCGTTTAAAAGAGTTCCAACGTTGCTGAAGTGTTCCAAGTGCCGTTTACCAACGGCACTCTTTCATAAAGAACCTTAATAAAAATCCCAATCTAAACAAGCTTAATTTACGTCCGCCACATAATTACCTACCCTGGAGGCACAACCTCCGCAGCTTTCACTCCGACTCTTTCCCTTTTTCCATCTTTTTACCTGCTCTTTTTTCATTTCGGCGTTGGCAAGCTACTTCTGCCACACGGCAACAGCAAAGAGTACTCGGTAAATGGGTAGTACTAAAGTAGTGGTATAGTAGTAGTAGTAAGAGATGGAGAACGAAGGAGGTGCGTGGAGAGCCCTCTGAAAAATCTAAGAGGCTTAAAGCATTAAAAGGGTTATATAACATTCATTACCAGCGGGTCAGCCTTTGTCAAATTTCCCTTGAAAGCAGCACCTCTCGGTGGACATCATCTTCTTGCCATTCTCCCCACTCTAGCAATGGTTTCTACTTTCTCGAGCCTTCTGTCTCACGCTCTTTGTCTCCGCATCTCTCCTCATCTCTCCTTTCCCTATTTCTCGAGCATCCAGCCCTACGTTTCTGGGGATGGTCACATGACCAAGCTATCGTCCACCAAGGGGTAACGATGTAGAGACTGTTAGAGAAAGGAGAGAAAGAGAGAGCAGAGGGTCTGCTTCTGATGAAGATGTCGCACACGCCAGGGACCTAGGCGAGATTACTTGGGTTAGAACCCGTGGACCCTGGTCAGGGCACATGCTAATTGCTTTATTTGACATCGAGAAATAATGTACTGCTATTGTCGTAGAGTAATCTCGTGAGAAAAAGAGGATACTTTCGTTAGCTATTGATTTCGTTCATTTATTCTCGTAACATTACTATTCACCTATTAGTTCATTTCCTAGCGTATATTTGATACAACAAAATTTATATCGTATAAACCCTATGTGATTTTTCATATTTTTTAAGAATCGTCATGGACTTTCTTTTGGGTTGATAAAAGTGATATCAAAATGACGAAAGCGTCCGTGAGCTTCAAAAATGTATTGTACTTTAGGTTCGTATCCTCTAAACGATTTCGGTAGATCTTATAGGTCGTTGTACGTGAGATGACTGACTATGTTGGAAAGATTGTGTTAGGTGCGTACCTAATAACCTTTAGTTGAATCAATAAACATTTCTTGACGTTACATATGGCGAAATTTGTATTCGAAATCGCGCATATCCAGGGGTGGACGAGGTATCCGACGCAAGGCACGCGTCTTTCTCGTAAATATGCCTTTGCCTATCGGAGTGCTCTCGAAATGCAAAGAAAAGAAGGTTAGAGGAATGAGGAGGTAGGGTGTTAGGGTCGATCCCGAGGTCGCCTAGGGTGCATTTCATCTTCGAGGGCGTCAGCTCGGAGACCGATCGACTATATCCTCGGCGCTGGATCATCCATCTTTTATCGAATCGTACATGTGATGGCCACTCGGCTATTTCTTTTCTTAACTTCTGCCTACGCGAAACTTACCTCAATAATACCCTTGTGATTATTACGTGTTCGAACTTAGAATCCAACAACCTACTTGAAGCGATTAATATTTTAACGTGAGAAATTATTTGCCTCGCTGCTAATTTATTTTCGTCACGAAAATATTACTTATGATGATGCGATTTAAAGGAAGTTAAATATTTCCGTAGAAGCGCATTAAAGGATTCATCTACGTGTATCACATAGCTATTATAACGCGAACTAGTTAAAACGATAATGAACTATTCCCTGGATATTCATAGTTTAAAGCAGATAGCTATACTGGGAATAGGATCATCCATCTCTTGTCAAATGGGAACTCGGTAGCCGATACCAGGAGTTGTTTCTCCTAGCTCAACTTTTGCTTCCGAAGGCGTCCATCATGCTCGGACAGAACACGTTTTCCTAACCAAACATTCGTCAATATTCACTTATGCGTAACTAATGCGCATCCGACCAACCGTGGATAGCTATATAATATCCATAGGATTTATAATGTGCAAACAAGGTATATTTCAGTTCTATAAGGACCATTAGCACTTTTAGTTATCTCGATACATTGTTATTCATCATTGAATCATGATAAAATGTAATGTGACCGATCGAAACGTTGTTCCAATTTTCTTTATACGCGTTAAAAAAGTTAATTTTTTTATTTTGAATATTCTTAGAAATCTTCTTAGTTTTTGTATATAATATTGTATTATCAGAAATAGATGAGTAATGCGGTTAAAATAATTTGAAATCGCTGACAAACGGGCCTAATACGAAGGAAGGAAAATGTACGAAAAAGAGAGCCTCGATGAGGGGAAACCATTGGCGAAAGCTATTTTTGTGGTTAGCGGAGAATAATTTAGGAGCAGATAATACGAGAGCCCGTGTAATTTCACCGCAAAGCCGGCGGCAGTCAACAGCCAGAGTGCGTGCTTGTTTTCATATAGTCAACGAGTATGGGTACATGAAGGCAGAGAAGAGTGGATCTGTGAACGAAGCTCAGGTGTTTCGTTCGATAATAGGCGACATCATCCCTCCCATTGATATCTAACCCCCACCACTGGTTTTACCCCTCATCAAACTCTGATCGATGTAATATTCACGCTCGATACGCTTCCACCTCCTTCTTCGGTGTAACTTACGATGCTCAATATTCGCGTACTTTCCGTTGGAATTTCATCAGCGTCCCTTTCGTATCTTCTAACAAACGTCTAACCAAAATCTCGTGCAGCGATACGCACTAAGTTTCATACTGTCAACTTGCTTTAATTCGATATTTATATCTCGAATAACATAATAGCTATTAGTAGTCTGTAAATTGGACCGCTAATATTAACTTTGATCGCAAATACTTTCTAATCCAGAATATCTTGAGTAATCTCAGTTCTTGATTCAATCGCAACTTACGTGACACGATAGAGTGTCGGTTTCTCTCATGGATTTGTGTAGCCATCGTTCGCGGTAAACACTCTCTTTTACTGGCCGTCGAGAGTTAAGCCAAGGTCTCCCATTAGCGCCGCTCGAAATTACAAAAATAACACTTGTCCCTGCAGCAACGCCCCACAATGTCGGGAAACGGAGCCGGCGTAGTTAAGTAAAATTAAGCTAAAATTTCCGACGATCCGCGATGTATATTCAACCCCTTTTCCTCTGGCAGACTCGCGCGTGGTGGCCGGCCAACAGCACCGAAAACCCTCCTTTTTCCTCCCTGAACTTCTGGATCTCTCTCTTTCTACATATACGTTACACTTCACGCTGCCCCTTTCTGCCTCGTCGGCATTAAATATTTACCTTTCAATGAATATGCAAATATAATTATTTACGCGCAATTTAGACGTTTTTACGCGTCCCGCGTGACTTTCTCTCTCTTTCTCTTTCTCTCTCTCTCTCTCTCTCTCTCTCTCTCTCTCTCTTTCATTTTCGCTTTTAACGCGAGCTTTGAAGTATGAAGAATCTCAAGTGCGAAGGGTCGTGTGAAAATATCATATTCAGACTTTTATTTTTAACGCTAGTCGAAATCGTTTCTTTCACGTTTTCGAAATGAAAATCCATTATCTCTATTATGCCACGCCGATGATACTACAAGCTTATTTTATATACTAATTTTTTAAATGCGTAATTGTTAGTTTCATTCAAATGAGTTAATGTCAA